AGAGAAAACATCGACCATTAAGGACAAACAAATAACTAGATCAGCAAACTAAAGAGAGATCGACCTCTATCTCGAACTGTTGTGCAACTCACCCGTTCATGCGTTGGCATTCCTGATTCGCTCGCTATTAGGTCTTACATCCCGGCAACACCTTATGCTCATGGGAAACCCGCGATACCCTTTTCATCCTTGTAGAACACAACATCGCACTATTTATGTCTTCAACGCCGTATAACTTAACTAGGCGCTCTTCTGCCTTTTTCCGTGTCTTCATCTGGCTTAGTATTGAGTTATTCGTTTACCCCGTGGCTTTAAAGCGTTGCGCTTCGGGTTGAATGATGCTCTTCATTGTTGCCGCGATTTATTTCTTATGAACGAGCATCGGCTCCCTAGCTTGTCTCTTTCGGCCTTTTGCTGCTTTTTGTGGGCAGCCGTGGCTCTTTTTCCCCGGGGCTCACATACCTTAGACCGCGGACATATGCCCTACTGAAGTGTTCGGATTTTGATAACTTCGCCAGTGGGTGAAGATGATATCGAATATCGACGAGAAGCCCATTGTTTGCGAGACAGAAGAAGAGGGCAGCCTCTTTTCCAGGTAGATATATTTTAATCTACTGTCGGAGTGAAAGCTTTCATATTCTAGACGACGATTGAGAAATACAAGCACGCTGTGATGCCGGCGGAGAAATGTGAGGTGAGATACATTCTATCACTACCTACTATTTGCGCCTATGTTCTCGTCCTGTAACCTCCTGAAGTGGTATTGGATAGACCCCAGGTTGCGTTGTGCATCAGCTCTTGGCTGTACTGCTCTCGTGAGAAGGGCTAATGCAGTGCACGATGAACACCTTGACAAGACATAGAAAGAACAACATAGATTGTAATACAATTTTCGTGACGCAAAATAGTTGCTCCACAATCACTAGTCTCAACTTCCTCCCCAAACCGTCCCGTAATATCCGTCAAATTAGCCAATGAAATAATGCACTATTCGTAAAACCACATTACACACCATCATGGACACGTACCGCGTCATCGTGCTCTTATGTGCTTTGCTAGGAACAAGCCCTAGCGTCGCCGATCAGACCGCCAACCCGATCTCTGTCCGTCTAACCATCATACAGATCTCAATTCCGCAAAGCACCCTTCCCGATAGCCGAATCGAGAAGACGATCCCTCATTAGCTCATCTTAATTGGCGGTGCCTGAAAGGCGCCTGTGCTGTCATCGCCTCGGGATGATATGTAAACGTCATGTTTATCCTTTGAAGTGATATGTGTCGCAGGATGTTGCCGGCAAAATGAGGTGCATACGAGAAATATATGATGTAAATGGCTGAGGTGGCTAATGAGATAGAGTCTGAAAGCACGGCGTGACTGAACTAGTGTTCTGGAAGACAATGAAGACAAAACAAGGTACATGAGAGCGGCGATACTGCGGTGCTATTTCCGACGTGAACTTGTCATCATTCCACTATGCACTTACGATGCAGCAATCGACGCATTCGCGATACCTAAGAGCCGTGACCGATCTCTGACGACACAAAAACCTTTGTATAGATACATAAACCCACGACTTCTCATTCTATGATCCAGTATCAATAATTACCACTCCAATTTCTCGTTGACAGATTCACATCAGTTCTTCATATACACAACGTTCTAACAATTTCCCCATGTCTGGTAACGATAACCCCGGAAATTTTGCCAACCGCCCCAAAGAAGAAGTGCAGAGCATTGCGTCCAAAGGCGGACAGGCTTCGCACTCGGGTGGTTTCGCTTCCATGGATGCAGACAAACAGGTAAGCGTCTTCTTGTCTTGAAGAATGTAATGCAATTTGTTGACGTTAATTGGTAGCGCGATATCGCTTCGCAGGGCGGAAAGGCTTCATCTGGATCTTTTGAGCCGGGCTCTGAGAAGGCAAAGGAGGCTGGAAGGAAGGGTGGACAGAGCTCTTAGAGGGTGCAATATATCCACTACTCGCTATCAGGTTAGTGAGCAGCTAGGTTTTTGTACACAACACCTACGGCTTCAGCCAATATTCATGTGTTGATTATATTACATTCAACCAACACGTCTTATCCCTGTCGAGTGAATTGGTTGGTTATCGCCATAATACTGTGCTAGACAATGGCTACGATTGATGTTTAGAGGAAGTTGTGCAGATCGTAAGAGATGTATGTGGCTCTACTAAGGAGTAAAATTTTTATGCCTAAGAATCATATGCCGTTTGTGAAAATCTATTCGATATCGTGAGATCGTTGCCATTCCGCCTAATATGATATTCTCAACGAGGCAATTCTATAGGGAAGGCAACAGTAAAAAAAATGTTAAACATCTAATGAGTTGAGTTTGATGTGGCGCCGTACACCAGCAATTTGTGAATCGAATCAAATAGGCTAACAGCGGTGTATACTGCACCACTCAGTAGAAGTCTCTCAGTCTGAACCATCTCTTTCTAATAGGGGTCTGGTGAGAAACGAATCTTCTAGGCTTGGGGAATGGATGCGCTGGTCTTCTAGCAGCCTTGCCTCGTGCGTTCGGGAGCTCTTCACTCTACCCTACGCGATTATTTTCGCAAGATGGAAGCTCATACCCCTTACACCCTCTAGTCGCTTTCTTAGCCTTTCAATCACGACCCAAACTGTTTTCTGTGATGACATGAGGTCGAGAATGCTAAGGAACAGTAGAGACAGCGTGGAGATAGATTGCTTCTACGAAGTACAACGCCGAGCATCCGATAAGGAATATACTGGACGTAGCACCACTTGAATGGCATTAGTGTTATAGATAGCTGATGCAGGCATGACAAGCTAATTAATCATCTATGCCCTTAGAGCACGTAGCGAATTTCCGATGGAAATTGTTGTATAAGCTCAAAGTCTACGAGGAAAGTGATGAAGGTGAAGCATACTGCTTCTCCAACTACCATAGATGTCTACGAAGAATCAGGGATCGCTCGGATTCTATAGGGTAAAGATCAATGCAACGTGACACGGGACACTGCAGCGAGGTTTCTCTAGTTGCGTACAACGACAACAACAGTCGTTGTATCTGGGCTTGCTCCTCAATGTCTCCCTTGTTCATATGGTTCAAGCGCTTGAAACTTGCCTTATTTTAGGACCTGAAACAAGCGAGTCGCTGGCTGTTAGGCGCCCCGGCCAGGTTGGTGGCTGAGGTGGGGGCCTATTTTGTCGACCGCAAGAGCTCCCAGCCACAAGGTACAGACTCCCAATGGCACCTGCTATCAAACTCAACGGATGGAACTGTGGGATTTGATGGGCAACACAACGGACACAGGCCACGAAAACGCTGCATCATGTGCGCGTTGAGTGGTCGTTCACAGGAGCGCTAGGAACAAGGAATGGCCCCAGCCACTAGTCGCATCCGCATGCATCACTTCGTCCCGCACAGCGCAGGCCAACTCCAAGCTCGACGCCTTGGGCGGCCCTACCGACTTCGCCCTGGTGCGACTATGACTGCCCCGTTTCAAGCGCCAGGCGCGCTGACGGCTGCTGCCGTCTTCGGCTCTTGTCGTAGCTCTTGTCATACCTCTGTGCCTGTCGCTCTCCTTCTATAAACAGCCACCGATCAGCATTACAACACTCGACTGCGTGCTTGGGAGGGTGCTTGGATAGTATCCTTCGCGGTGTGGGTAGCGATATCACAGTATCGTAGTATCACAACACGCTTGTTGGAGGATTTGGAGAAAAGTAGCAAGAAGGATGGAGGTATGAGGCGCTTCATAATTGCTGCGGGTACGAAATTGCTGACCAGAGCTCCAGCGCACGCAAGAACCCTATCGAGACTCACCGTCTTCTTCGCGAAGCTCCACGCCTACACCGTCTACTCACACCCAGCCTGCGAAACCGCTCCCGTTGCTGCCTACCGACAACATGTCACAGCCACTAGAGCCCTACCGGGACGAGCCCTCCCCAAGTCCATCCACGCCTGCTCCCATCATTGCCGCTCCTACACCCCAGCGCCACCGTACAACGACGTTGACCTCAACTGCGCGTCTCCAACATGCAGAAATTCAGCTTTTTTTCCCACCCTACACCGACGCGCCTCGACTTGCAAATGACGATGATGTCCCACTTGCGCAGCTCTACCCGTATCCCACTGAAGCGCCGCCGCCTTACCAAGTCGCAGTGCGCGAGTCATACCGCGAGACGCTGGTCCAACACCTATCTTCGCGCTCTACGTCGACTGTGCATGACGAGGAGATGGGCGGAGACAGGACACAAGCTGACGATGTCCGATTCACGGTGGAGAGGGTGGTTGCGGCAATTATCGTATCGATGTTGTTGATCGTTATCGCGTCGCTACTGGCACTGGTCGCGGTATCGGGGTTCAATTGGAAGATCTGAGAACGGATGATGACAATGACAATAGGGCGCAACCAGGGGTAAAAGCATAGCTTCTGGTGCTGGGTTTTCGTTGGCAATGATACCTACGGATGCATACTATGGGCGTTTTGGATACCTCGGATTTTGATGAGGACACTTTGGAAAAGCATTTTGAGTATATATACATACTGCTGTCAATTCTAGTAACCTTTGGGGCCGCGTTCTTGAACGTCACAAACACTGGTTCACAGAGTCTTGGGCATTCTAGAAGCACTACTTTAGTGCTTGTGCATGGAAAATCTTCCGCACTCTCTTCATCCACTAGGGAATAGACGGTTGCAGCAAACTTCCAAATGATCAAGTGACGTGTATTAGAAAACATTTGTCAATACTTTGTGCGTTGATCTCAAAGGAGTAGATACAATCGATGGTCGCTGGCGCATCGCTAGTCAACCAATTGTATGGCCCTGTCTCAAGCGACACCCACGGCCCCACAACACAAAGATAGATCCACGTCATCTGCCTGTTTGCCTTTTCTAATTCCTGTTCCCACTGTATTCTCCATGTTAATCTTCAATCTTTTTTCTGCAAATGTCGATGCATGTTCTAGTATATGTATTTTGTATCGTTGTTCATTCCTTCATTAACATCATCTTCCTTGGTCTAGTGGTCATGATTTCCGCTTGTCAAGCGTTGAACCAATGCTGCAAGCGCGGGAGACCGGGGTACGTTCACTCCCATTCTGAACATAGACATCATTCCTAACTTGTAAAAAGGTTCGATTCCCCGAGGGAGAGCAAATGTTTTTTTTGGCATCTGTTCGATTCGTCACTGCGAAGACTCAGCCTTTTTTTTTTTTGCTTAATGCTAGAGCGTTCCAAGGTCTTCGCTTCTTATCCAATCAGCGAGGGGTCCATAAGTGGACTTTGGGATGCACATAGACACGGAGCTTCACCTTGCAAGACAAGGTTCAAAAGAAAGTTTGCATCCACACGGACAGTTCGACCTCGTGAAGTCATCCAATCTAGAGAAGTTGGCTGATTGGTGTCCTGAAAGGACGTGTGTCAAAAGATTTTGAGCCTTTGGAGACCACAGAAGACGTCCCAGCTACCACCACCATAGAATCCACTGCTAACAGTTGCTTGAATAAGTGGAACTTTACACTAGTAGAGTGGATGACAATCGAGCCGATTGACGAAGATGAGGAAGTACCTGGTAAATGCGGCGAGTTCTTGAGGGCTACAGAGTTTGAAATCAACGAACCTCAAACCACAATCCTAGGCTATTGCCATTGCTATGCCATGAGAAACATTACGTGGGATTGGAAGGCGCATGCTCGAGCGCTGTTGGTTCGTTGCGCCTGCTAAACGTTCGTTGGTCGCTGCGTCTAGTGGTGGGTTCCTTCTATATCGATTCCTCGCGGTCACATCGACGACGAGTGTATCTCTTACTACCATGAAACTTACACAGGACCTCCAAGAAGTACTGTCAGCGATAGCCACCACTTCGCCGACACGTCAAGGTCTGAAGCGTATCTCTTGCTCTTGAGATCGTTCTCCGTTTTGAGTATAGAGACCCCGGTTCCTTCTCCAACGACGGCACCCGCGCGATTACATCAACTGGGTTGTACAGAGGGCTCGCAAAGCAAGACCACCGAAGAGGTCATGCGTACGATCTGTCAAAACAGAGGATAGAATGCGAACGCAGGCTTTCGGTGAGCAGAGTGCAATGTGAAAAGAATCGATCATTCAATCAATAAAGACGCTGAATCACGACGCAGACTGCCATTTAATAGTGTATTTGCCTACGTAAAAGAAAAGTTACGTGAATTTGAATCAATTTCAAATGGCGGACAGGTTCTTCTCCAAGACACAGGGCCAGTGACGCAGTTTCGACGTCGGGAGCACGCGTAACGATCTATCTTTACAACCTTATTAGTATTAGTGTTGATGCACATATGACTGTACTAGGGTTGATTGCAGATCCTCAGACGCCATGTGAAATCACCAATAGGTATATGATCTAGTAGTCTGCCGTGAAAAGACCTTCCTCGTCTCGCTTAACCATCGCATATTCGAGTCCCTGTTCCGTTGCTCTTGCTGCGAGGTTTCCATGTGTATAGCTCTCATTGGCTAGGAAGACTTGCGTGAGGTTCGGAAAACTAGAGATTTTGCTCTCGAGCAAGAGATCCATGAGCTGAGGTCTTTTTAGCTCATCGTCATATCTTCCTACTTGATCGAGATGGAGACGCTCCAGCGAGCGCGGGAACAGCATCTGTGGATCAAACGCGGCAGTGGATTGATCGTCCCAGACATTATCGACGAGGTCATGATACTGACACCGAAGGACCTTCAGCTTCTCCAGCTGGTTTAGGCAGGGTACAGCACGGATGCTTCCATCTAAATCTTGTATCTGCCAAAGGTCAGCCTAGGAATTTGCAACGTAGGTCCATCTGAGACATACACTCTCGCAGTCATCGTTTTCCAGCACGAGTCTTTCGATCGAATGAGCACAGTATTGTATAATTGCGCTCATGAACCCTCTTGGGTCGTACTCTGCATCCCAAGAGATGGATGCTCCCCCGGCATCGTACTCGAATGTTTCCAACGCTTTGCAATTGCTCAGAATGACGTTGACGACTTCACTTGAGATCATGGAGCGAGAAAATAAAAGCGTCTTTAAATTTGATGTGGGTGCCAGGGCAGGCTTCCAGTAGTCGGGTATATCGGCGTCATCTTCTTCATCCCGGTGCATCCCGCCGCCGATCATGTGGGCAGAAAAGTATTCCAGGCTTGGCAGACGAGTAAAAAAGACTGCTGATTCCCATGCTATGCAAAGTTCAGTATCCCAGTGCGAGAGTTGAACCGTCTTGAGATGTTGGAAAAGGCCATTCAGGCCTGGATTGTTTACAGGATCAGCACAAGCGGCTGATATCACTCGCAGGGCATTTGTGAACCACGGAGCTCTGTGACAGGGAATAAGCCGGAGCGTTTGAAGGGCATGAAGCCGAGTCAATACAAGTGGCATCATTGGGTCGGTATCTCCATCTTCGAGAGCTTTGTGCAAATCTTCAGACGTGCGTATTTCAGAAAGATTGCGACCCGCGTATGGTTCCCACTCCATTATCGCGGGTGTGGCTAGGAAAAAACTGTCGTCCGCCGCTCTGATATATTTTGCCACGTCCAAAGGGTCAGGCTTTAGCCAATCACCCACCACTGGTGGATCGTGCCATCTGACCTTGGGATCATAGAAGGCGTTGTCGACAATGCTCATCTGAAAGACAAGAACGTAATCAGCAACCCTCGGATCATCCGAAAGGTCATTGAAGAGTTTCCACACAGTTTTCTGATCCGAATCTGCATAAAAGTGACGGTATTCGGTGACCATGATTCTATGAGTCGTGATGAGGGAGTCGCATAGCTGCCACATGCCTTTATTGACGGCAGCGAAGCGCAAGGCATCGTCGGGATTCAGCAATTCAACAATCGAGAGCCGAATCTCTGCGGGCAGGCTCATCAGGGTAGCCATGATGCGGAATCTAGAAAAAACTGGAAGAGAGGAGAGGAGGAGCGAAGGCGCCGTAGGATCGTAAATTATGGAAGCAGATGCTTACCCGATCAAGAGCGCTAGTGGAGGCAGCAGCCTAGCGACAGCCTCAAGCCTCGAAACAATCCACACGACAACATAACAGCGTTGCGGAGGATGTCGAATCGTTTCCATGGAAAGCGAATTGGCAAACTGTATCCAAGCATTGTTCGTCCCTAGGAACAACGACCAGCCGCGTTTCGATCTGGTAGTTACTCTAGTTCGGTACGAGGGCAAGGCCAGGAAATCGCATCGCCATCGTCAGCTCCGAAAGTAGACTCCAAATTGATTGTACATCAGTGGCCACCTCGTATTGAGCACTTTACCATCATGCCTGGCTTGCGCTTCAGATCAAATTTCCGTTGCGATACATTTGCTCCCCTCTCGTTCAAGCTGAACTGCTATCCTTCCTATCACTCTTTACTCTTGGCGAGCTGACATCGGACATGATCCGCCATCGTGTCAAGTCGGCTGTGCATGTCGTAAGGATAACGAAGATTACAACTTCTTGTGGCGACATGATATTCTACACAGTTTGTAGTGAATCCGTCTGCGCGTCCCGGAGGAACGTAACCTCATAAGCCATGCACACGGCTTTCCGATGCTCCGTTGCTTCCGCCGATCATCCGCTGTGGGGTATCACGGTACGTCATCCACCAGCGAATAGCCATCATAGCCATCGCCTCGGTGCCAGTCGCATGAATGAGTTACCTGTTGTCATCACTTTAACCTTTACTCAGATGATCGAAAGGTGGTGTTGGTGCAGAGACGAGCTACGTATCAGTCAGTCTATAGCGTGTTTCGAGACAACGAATGAATCGTAGCCATGTGCGATGCTTGTCATGACTAGTTCGCTGACACTCACCTTCGAGCAATTTCCAAAAACTACTAAGCCCTTTTTTCCCCCGAAGATCAGTGGTATTCGCACAACAGACGTTTGACAGGAATCGGCTCACAAAGTCGTCCGTATCATACGGCCGGCAGTCGTCCGCCACTCGTTGACACAGAGCACCAGCCTACAGGGACCGTGTAATTTGCGCAGCCACGACAGGATTCTCCGTATCCGGTTAATGGCTAGTATATAAACACCCTCTAGCCTAGGCGCTGGTTATCCTTCATCCGTCGATCTCCGTTGCCCTCTCGGTTCGAGTCCATAACCATGACGACGACTCCGCACGACGTACCATTGACAATTCATACATTTATTCGCAATGCATCGGGTGGACAGCTTGCAACCGCGACCTTTGCTCTTGTGAGTCTTGTGCATATGTTGGGCGAAAAGGCCCCAGTTTAATTACTGCATAGTCAATTGTTTACTTCTTGGCAAGGAGTATCTATCGACTTTACTTTCACCCTTTGAGCAAATTTGCTGGACCCAAGTCCCATGTAGTAAGCCATATACCCCAGCTTCTTGCGACTTGGAAAGGAGAGATGCATACACGCGTCGCTGCCCTACATGAAGAGTACGGCAGCATTGTACGCATAGCTCCGGATGAGCTCAGCTTCATCCACCCAGATGCATGGAAAGACATCTACGGTCATGGCACCATGAGCAAAGGTGTATCAAGCCCAATGCCTCACAAACCCTGGCACCGCCATGGTCAAACTCTAAACGGCGCTACATCCCTCATCATCGCGCAAGATACCGACCATACGCGCATGCGTCGCCTGTTCAACCCGGCCTTTTCCGATCGTGCTCTCAAACAGCAGGAACCATTATTCATGAAGTACGTCAATCTACTTGCGGACAAATTACATCAAGGTATCGAAGCGGATCCGGATCACAAGTTCGACATGGTCAAGCTATATAATTCTACCACATTTGACGTCATGGGTGACCTGACCTTCGGAGAACCCCTTCAAATGCTGGCACGGGGGAAATACGACCCCTGGGTCAATGCAATATTCGCCGGTATCAAGTTTGGAACCCGAATGAGTGTGATGGTACACTATCCAGCAGTCGAGAGGACGTTCAAGGCCCTCATACCCAAGTCAAAAGTCATGAAGAAGCGAGTGGAACACCACAATTTCTCCAAGGACCGTGTGACGAAGAGACTCGAGAAGGGTCGCGAACATGAGGGTGTAGACATCTGGGACCTTGTGTTGAACAAATCGGAGGACAAGAGCCTCTCGCGCGCGGAAATGGACAACAATGCTGGCCTCTTCATGATCGCTGGGACTGAGACGACGGCGACACTTGTCTCTGGTCTGA